ACACTGTATGATTTCTAGAGCTTGATATAGGGCAATTTGTTCAGCAGAGTGATGTAAGCTTCGTTATGATTGCATCATCCATGACTTCTAGGAATAACATGATGCAATTCACATCATGTATGACGCAATACCAGCTTCAGATTGCATCATTCATTGTTTTGCCTAAAAAGCAAGTACTGTCCAAACCCAGTCATAGATTTATTCATAGATCCAGTCAAAGATATATTTTAGTCATTTCTGGGTTAAATTGAGATCCCTTCCCTTTATAACTCACTTATCCTCCGCCATTCCCAAGTCAAGGGTCGTATATACTGACCCAATAGCATATCTTGAAAACTAGAGCCAATCAACAATTTTAAGCATCATTTTTGTTCTCGGTGACCCAGAATTAGTAAAGTTTGACTACATTTATTTCAGAAGCATTTTGGCTGTAGAGCACTGTATTGGCTCCTTCCATTTCTGGTAAATGAATTAAATGCCGAGTAGAGTTTCTGGCTGTTTTCTAGGTTACCTGTTTGATAGATACTTTTAAATAATTACTCTGAATCTTGCTGATCTTTATTTCCACTCTGCGGCTTTTCTGTATTCAAGCTTTCCACCTCTTAATATGAAGTGAGCTCCCACTAGCCTTTCCTGAGAGGCCTCTCTGCCGGTTCATATATTTCAGGATAGCTAAAAGAGCACCAACCTGTTCTGAAAGTTTCATGTTTCCATTGTGCAATGCATTAATAATTTCCATTACTTTCATTAAACTAATTCACTGGCTGCTTGATCTATTGGACTGCAATGTGTCTGTGTCTTGGAGGGCTCAGGTAGGGTGTTGTAAGAGGATGCCCACCATCAGGTGGATTCTGACTGGAGAAGATCCGAATTGCCATTCCACTATGTTTTTGTTGACTGGTTTTAAGTTCAGCCATCTTCTAATCTAGAGGGAAAGTTCTGGAGGGCATTTGAGTTGCTTTCTAGAGGCGAGGCAATGCTGGGGGAGCAGAGCTCTGGCTGTAGCGATCTGTCACAATATAGAGTCACTTGATGTCTACCCAATAATTTATATTTAGAAACACAGCTAGAGATTTTGCAAAATGTATAGTATTCATAAGTCTGCAATAAGAACACCGGGCATGAAGTAACGGTATGGGGATATTTATTCAGAAATACATCAACTTACCCAGCTGGGCAAAAGGGAAAATTTCCCTTGTATTTTCACATTCACTTCACTAACAATTACTGTCACAACACCTAACTTACATGTAGTTGTAGTTAGCAGGCCTGTTATAGTTCATTGTGACTTGTTAGTTCCATTCTGTGGTACAGTCATTGCCTGTAAAGGGACTCACCAATGCATTTTGTAAAATAAGGTGGAAAGTTGTCAAATGAAAGTATACTGTTTTAGAACCCGAATAAGAATAAGAACTTTTTCTTTTATTGAACACCTTTAAAGGCTTTCCATCTTTCACTTTCTGCATTCAGATAAGTATAAAAACCATATTATATATTTACAGTCAGCTGATACAGTGATTTCCTCCTTGCAAAAGAGAAAACAAGTATTAGAGATCATTAATTTAATTACTAACTTGGCTAACACTAATATTGGGGGCGGATACCAGACTACACGAATCTCAACTCGGGGATGGCAAAAAAATTAGACGTCATGTACTACGGCCCACAGTATCGGCATTGCTCCAGACTTTTAACGATTATTCCGACTGAAATTAAGTTCCGATGATAGGACAACCTAAAAAAAAAAAAAATAGACTAGAGCCAATAATTAAGTACAGTTGATCAGAAGAGTCCTTATACCATAATGGGGGGTGGGGTGGGGGGAATAATGATTAAATATAAGGAAAAGAAATAGCTAGCAGCGGACTTCATATTTACATCACAAGATGTCGCTGTAGACTGAAAATACGTTTTCATAGAAAGGGGAAAATACAGCTCCTCCCACCGTACTCATAATAACATCTGCAGCAAATCAGAGATTGGCCAGCATTGCCTGATACGGCTCGAATTAAACCTTTGCAGAGACGTGGCAGGATATATTAAAACATATTTATTTTCTGGCAAAAACCGGGATTTTATTTGTTAGCTTGCACTCTCCGCATTCGCAATGGCTCTTCTCCGGCGAGACGCCCTGGTAACCAGGCAGCTGCTGCGGTTGGTTCTGTTACACACGGCCTGGGAAGTGGGCAGCGGCCAGGTCCGTTATTCCGTGCCGGAGGAATCCAAACACGGCACCTTTGTGGGCCGCCTGGCCCAGGACCTGGGGCTGGAGGTGGCGGAGCTGGTGCCTCGGATGTTCCGGATGGTCTCCAACGGCAGGAGAGACTATTTCGAGGTAAATTTGCAGAATGGCGTTTTGTTTGTTAATTCGCGAGTAGACAGGGAAGAGCTGTGCGGCCAGAGCCCCCTGTGCGCCATTGACCTGGAGGTGATAGTGGACAAACCCCTGAGGATATTTCACGTGGAAGTAGAGATACAGGATATAAATGACAATGCTCCTGCTTTTTCCGTAAATGAGCAAAACCTGAGTATAGCAGAATCACTAACTCTTCCAGGTTCGCGTTTCCCACTAGAGGGCGCGTCTGACGCAGATATTGGAACAAACTCTCTGCTAACCTATAAACTCAGCCCAAGCGAATATTTCACCATAAAGGTGCAAACTAATGAAGAGCAAAGTAAATCTTTAGTCCTTGTTTTAAAGCAATCACTGGACAGAGAGGAAACCCCTGCGCATCATGTATTACTCTCAGCCACTGATGGGGGCAAACCAGAGCTCACCGGCACAGTTCAGCTGCTGATCACTGTGCTGGATGTGAATGACAACGTCCCTTCTTTTAATCAGTCTAGTTATAAGGTTCGATTGTTAGAAAATGCAGCTAATGGAACAATGATAATGAAAGTGAACGCAACCGACTTAGATGAGGGAATTAATAAGGATATTTTATATACGCTTCGCGGTGTTACTCAACCCAATGTAAGTGCCACATTTAGAATAGATTCAAATACTGGAGAAATCAGTGTGAATGGAGAACTGGATTTCGAAAACACTAAATTACACGAAGTTCGAGTAGAGGCCACTGACAAAGGTAATTTCCCATTATCCGGGCACTGCAATGTTTTCATAGAAGTGTTAGACGTTAACGATAACATCCCTGAGCTGGCTGTGACTTCCCTTTCTCTGCCGGTACCGGAGGACGCTCCTCCAGGGACAGTGGTGGCTC